AACATTGATTGGCCGCCTACTGCATGCCCCCACTGGGGATTTGGCCCACAACATGGGCACGTGTCCTGACTGGGAATCCAACCAGTGACCTCTTGGTGCATGGCTTGATGCTCAACCACTGAGCCACAACAGATGGACTCATCAACGTTTCTATCTCTCTCTCCCTCTCCCTTCTTCTCTCTCTAAAATCAATAAAAATATATATATATTAAAAAAAAAAGAGAGAGAGACACAAATTTAGTATCTTACAATTCTGGAGATCAGAAGTCCAAAATCAATCTTGCTGGTCTAAAGTCAAGATGTCCGCAGGGCTGATTGCTCCTAGAGTCTCCAGGAAAGAATCTATTCTTTGCCTCTCCCATCTTCTAGAGGCTCCTTGCATCCCTTGGCTCCTCAGATGGTAACTGTATTACTGCAATCTTTGTTTCCATCGTCACATGGCCTCCTCTCTGAATTTGGACTCCTCCTTCCCTCTTATAAGGACCCGCATGATCACATCAGGCCCACTAGTTTGTTTAATCCTAAATAATCTTCCCATCTCAAGATTCTTAAACCTAACCACATCTGCAAAGTCCCTTTTGCCAGTTTAAGGTAATGTATCCACAGGTTCCAGATATTAGGACATGGAGGTCTTGAGGAACATTATTCAGCTTACCATGCCATGCTTTGTTTCTCTTCATTCAACAATTCAGCTGGTAGTAAAATCCTATGTTCATTCCCTAATTTCCTCATTTCACTAAATGTCACTTTTTCTTTCTCCTCTCCCTCCCCTTCCTCCTTTTCTCTTTCTCTCTGCTTTCTCTCCCTATGTTCTAGGGCCTATAGATGAACAGCATACTACTGCTTTTATTGCCAAAAGCCACACTGTGACAACTTGTTTCCTATGTGATTCTGTTGACTTGTCTTCTGAGATTATTGGAGTCAAGAACCTTTTGATTTTATTTTCTGTTTTTTCTTTGTTGCCCTTTGTACTACATTTTATCAATAGAAGTGAAAACTGCAGAGAAATAAAATTTCTTGCATTCACTGGCTAACAGAAGTACAAACTCACAGCCTCATAGTCAGGAAATGATCATTTATCCATTCTCTCCTTCCAACCCAACATAGTTCAGGAAAATCACAGTCTATTCTCCATTTTGAAAGCTACATGAATGAACTTCTACAATTTCCCTAGTCATATACTCCCATATTTCACAGTCCTCCTTTTAGGCAAATTCTCAAATCCTTGACTACAGACAATTTGGAATTTTTAAATCTTCCCTGAGGTGCGTTGCTAACACACTTTAAACTGAAAAGGACTTCTAGTTTCTTGACCCCTGCTCTTGGAGCAAGAGGGATGCTTGGCTTTGAAGAGGTTATTTCTTCAAGACACAGAGGTGAGAAGGGAGTGGAAGGACTGCTTTGCCAACTCTGCTATAGCCAGTATGTTCTAACCTGATTATTTGTCTGTGCTGGAGAACACTCTTCTGTGTTGCTGCTTTGGTATAACAACTCTGCTTCTGACGAGGAATCCATGTGCACTATGTTCCTGCAATGCAATCCCACTGTGCAGTCAGAGTACTCTTCTCATATCCTGGTGCAAAGGAGCTTCCAAACTGCTTTGGTTCATGCTCCCAAGTTTTCTTGGTTAGGTAGTTCATTGAAGGAAGAGCAAAGCGATTTCAGAAAACAGACAAACCCACAAGAAACTCAAATACATCTCTAGCCTTTGGTGACCTTCAGACATTTATATCCAGTGTCAAGAGCTTCCCAGCCTCTTTCTTTCTTTCTTTCTTTCTTTCTTTCTTTCTTTCTTTCTTTCTTTCTTTCTTTCTTTCTTTCTTTCTTTCTTTCTTTCTTTCTTCTTTATTGATTTTAGAGAGAGAGAAAGGGAGAAGGAGAGAGATAGAAATATTGATTGGCCACCTCCTGCATGCCCACCTCTGGGGATCTGGCCCACAACCTGGGCATGTGCCCTGACCAGGAATCAAACCGGTGACCTCCTGGTGCAACCACTGAGCCTCACCGGCCGGGCTTCCCAGCCTTTTTCCTACTCTGGTACATGATATGCTGCTTCTCAATAGGATGTTTTCAACACATCTCTCTTAGGCTCAAGCACCTGTGAAAGCTGCCTATCAGGCCTAAATTCCTCATCCTTGTATTTGAGGGCATTTAGCCAACTTCTGTTGCCCTAACTTTTCCAAGGGGAGGTCTCCTCATTCTTCATTAGCCACATTAATCTACCCACTATCCCCAGGACATGACAAGCTCCATTGCCTTGTTCGTGTTGTTGCCCTCATAGAAACTATTTGAGTTCTTCTTTCCCAAGCCCTGCTTTCATCTCTTTTGAAACAAAGTTGAAATAGATCCATTCTGGGAAGCTTGTTCTGATCACATCAAACTGATAAGTTACCTGCTGTGCAGTCCCTCATTATTTGTGGATTCACTTGCTTCTGCTATGTATCTTGCTGCTGCTTTGGTAGGCAGAATTCTAAAATGTCACCACCTCCCTCAAGATTCTTGGCTATTGAGGTACACACACCTTCTTTCAGTTATTCAATCAGACACTAATCTAGGTTCTGCTGTGAGGGAATATTGCAGATGTAATTAAGGCCCCAAATCAGATGATTTTAAGATAGGAGATTATCTGGGGTGAGCCTGAACTAATCATATAAACCTTTAAAGTGGACTGGGCTCTTCATAAAGAAAGACATTCAGAGTGTGAAAGAGGTTTGATGGGAGAAAAATTCTCTGTTGCTGACTTTGAAGATGCAATAGGCCACAAGCAATGTGGGAGACCTCTAGGAGCTGAGAATGGTCCCTGGCTGGCAGGCAGTGAGAGAATGGGAGACTTAGTCTTACAACTGCAAAGAACTGAACTTGGCCAACAGCTTGTAGTAATTTGTTAAGCAGCAGTAGAAAACAAATGCCTTTGCTTTTGTAGATCTTGCTTTTGTTGAATTCATGTGTGTGCATTAGTCCAAGTTTCCAGATGAGAGGAAAAGTTTTTAAAATGTATTTTTGTGCCCCCTTCACACCACAGCTATAATGTGAGGTTATTAGGGAGACTTGCTTTAACTGATATTTTAGAGTTAATAGAGATATAAATCCTTGGCATAAAGGTGCCTATTGTTAAGCCGCAGCTAGAATTACTACCATTGTAAAGTGTTTCCTACCTCCCATGTTAGAAACAAATTTCTGCACATCTGATATCTTGTGGACATCACGTGTATGCCTCACCAGTTCCATGAACTTAGTGGGTCCCCATATTTGCTCTCCTAAAATCGCCCCTCCCCCTGCATTTTCTGGGACTGTTAATGGTACCTTCAAACTTCCATTTTCCTTTGGGCTTAGAACTCCAGCCATTATCGACTCCTTCCTCTGTCTTGTCCCCACAGTCACTCTGTTGCCAAGTCCTCTCAATTTTTCCCCTTCTTTTCACTTTTATTGTCCTTGACTCATTCAGTATCTCTCATCCAGAATACTTCAAGAATCTCCTAGATGCTCTCCTGGGACCAATCTCTGATTATTACAGCTGTAGTCATATTGCTTCTCTATTCACCCATATTCCAAGAAATTCATTGGCTTGGCATTCAAAATTCTGCTGGACTAAACCCAACCTTGCCTTTCTCATATTTTCAAAATTTTTTCAAGATATATATATATATATATATATTTGAGAGAGGGGGAAAGGGAGGGAGAGAATGAGAAAACACCCATTTGTTGTTTCACTTATTTTTGAAAATATGTTTTTATTGATTTTGAGAGAGAAGAAGAAACACCGATTAAGCACACCTCGCTACTGGGGATTGCATATGCCCGGACCAGGAATTGAATAGATGACCTCTTGATCCGTGGGTCAGCATTCAACCATTGAGCCACACCAGCTGTGGCTGTTGCACTTATTTTTGTATTCATGGGTTGATTCTTATATGTGCCCTGACCGGGGATGGAACCTGCCGCCTTGCCGTCCGGAGACGATGCTCTAACCAACTGAATTACCAAGCCAGGCCTCAAAAATTCTTAAATGAGTATTTTGCCTACCTTCTAAGTTATTTGGGGTTGACCTTTAAAAATTATTCTTTAAAACTGTTATTGCTTTTGCAGGTTTGCATCCTAACTGTGACTCTTCCCTGCAATCTGCAGCGTTTTCACGTGCATCTTCCCGTTACTTTTACTCCAGACCCACTGCCCTTGCAGTTCCCTGCAGTCGGACATTCTCAGGCCTTGGATTCTTCTGAACGTATAGCAGCTGCTTGGCTTGTTGAACTACCAGGGGAAAATGTGGTTCCAGAACCAAATTGTGAGTTCCCAGAGGTAAAACCTCATTCTTGCCTTAAGCTATCATTCCCTTCCCCCAGGACACACATTTTATTCTGCTTTGGTGTGATCATCGGCCCAAATGTGTCGCATTCATCCCACAGAAAAGGGACCCACAGTCCCCTTTCATAGTCGAGGCCAATTTACTCTGGACTTTCAGTGATTTTAACAAGTCACACACAACCCCCACCCCCACCCCCAGTGTCCTGTGTCCACAGGGGATGTGCATGCACTGTTCCCACTTTTTGAGAACCTTAGAGTTTGCCTCTGCCCACTCCCCCTCTTCTAGTTTGGGATTTCCATCCTTCTCCCCCCAGCCACAGGGCGCACTTTAAGTGATCTGGTCAAAAGAAAGAAAGAAAAGGAGGGCGGGGGAAGGGAAGGGAAGAAAGAAAAGAAAAGAAAAAAGAAAGAAAGAAAAAGCGAAAAGAAAAGAAAGAAAAAAAGAACCGAAAAAAGCTTCCCAGGATTCGTCCTGGACTTGACAGCTGGGGTTGGAGCACATTCCACCACCCGATCCTGGTGACTGTATGTAGTATTTCCTTGGCCGGTCAGACCGCCTCAGCCCAGGCGCGGCTCCGGCCGGGCTTTAATGACCTAAGCAACTTTCCTTTCACTCCCCCGCCCGTCTTGGTACGGCCTGTCCGGCGCTTTGCGTTCGGCGTTCTATCCCCCCCCCCTTCCTTCCAGGTTGGTTCAGCCCCTGTCTACTCCGGGGTGGTGCTTAGCCGGCGCCAGACCGACCCTCGACTTCGGAGGGGCAGTGCGGTGCCTCTGGGCGCTTCCTCGCCGGCTTCTTCGGCTTCTTCAGCCTCCTCGGCCTCCTTGTCCTCGGCTGGGACCCGAGACCTCGGTGTATGCCCCAGCCCTGACCCCGCTCGAGACATGTCTACCCCAGCTCGGCGGCGCCTCATGCGGGACTTCAAGAGGTAACCGACAGGGACCGCGGCGGCCGGGGGCTGGCAGCGGGACTCAGGGCGGGTCCCGAGGCGGGCCGCGGGCAGGGGCGCCGGGAGCGACGCGGCGGCCCGATAACGGGGTCCCTGTCTGTTTCTCTAAAGGTTACAGGAGGATCCTCCAGCCGGAGTCAGTGGCGCTCCGTCTGAGAACAACATAATGGTCTGGAACGCGGTCATTTTTGGGTGAGTCTGCGTTCCGGGCGTTGGCGAGAGATGGGGGATGCTAGGTGTCTCCTCCTGCTCTCTGGGACCGGCCCCTGTGAAGGCAGAGTGGGAAAGGGACTGTGTTGGGGTTTGGCCGGGCCTAGGCTCCTCCCCGGAGCCTGTGCCTCGATTAGCTCGGTTCCCACTGCCAGGGGAACCGTTTGGGGTTCTCAGGGGGGCGGGGCGGGGAGTGGTGGCGGTTAGGCGCGGCGGCCTGCATTCGGTTTCTGAGCCTGAAACATCTATTTGTAGTGGCTTTCCCACCCGGGAACCGGTACTTTAGCAGAGGTGGGCTTGGCAGAGCTTGGCAGAGCCTGGAATAGCCATCTTCTAAAATGAACTAGGGAAAAGGGAACCTCTTAGCGATAACTGACTGTTTTTCTCTGTGTTTCAGGCCTGAAGGGACCCCGTTTGAGGATGGTAAGAGTTTGTTTACACACACTTTTCAGGAGCCTGATCATCTGGGGAAAGGGTTCCTAGTCATCCTGGAAGTGCCTCCTTCTTAGGAACCTGCTTCTGTCTAGCTTCTGCCTATTAAAGGCTTGAGTGGAATCCAATATGTGGCTGGTTGTTCTGGCTATTGTCTACTTGACTAAAATAGCACATTTTTTTCTTGCTTCTTTTAAAAAATCTGGGTAAGGCAGTACATTTTCTAAGGGAGCATCATAGCACTGATGTTACTTTTGAGGTCTGGGCTGTGATCTGCAAAATTCAGCCCTCCATCAAGATACTGAGTATCAATCAACTCAACCACTTGCTGATACACTCAGAGACCCCAGAGACCATCTGGTTAGCATTCTACCACAAGGCAGGAACTGTGTACAGCTGGTGCTTAATGTTTCTTGGGTGTTGAACGGATGCAAGCATCCCTTGTACACAACTATCTAGTTTCTGCATTCTGGCATTGAATGCCTGTCACCTTCACTGCTTGCTCTAAAATGGTTTTTAATGGCCAGTTTGAGTATAATATTATTTCTTATTTTTAAATGAGTTTTCATAGATTAGATTTGACTTTAAAAAAAACACGTATTAATTGCTTTTTAAAAGATTTTTATTAAAAAAATAAAAGATTTTTATTAAAGCTTTCTATTTTGAAGAATAGATTCATGTGCAGTTGTAATAAATAATAATACAGACAGACTGTATATTCTTCACACACTTCCCCCACCCACTTCTGTAGTAACATCTTGAATGACTATATTACAATATCACAAATAGGAAATTGACAATGATATAGTTTTATGTGCACTCAATTGTATGTGTAGTTGTTTTTTGACATTTTAATTCATTTAAAAGATTAAAAGTATTTGAACTGTTTCACATCTTTAATATTGAGGTTTTAAAAAAAAAAGAAAGAAAGAAAAGTACTTTCTGTTATTCTTTCTCAATGACTTTTCTTCCTTTGGCCATGTAGCACTTTGTACACACACACACACACACACACACAACTCAGTTTCAATGTGGGAACAAAAACACCTCTGCAAGCTACTGAGTACATGCTTATGTTACCAAGTTGGATTGCTTTTTAATGCTACCAGTTCACAAGGTAGGTCAGTATCAACCAATTCTATAATTTGTCTCAAATACTCAGATTTCCTTAGGAGGCTGCAGACTGTCACCTGAATACTTTTAGCTTCCTGTGTACCTTCACTCCCTGGGTAAATATTACTGCTCTTCAGGGCTACAATAAAATGAAATGACAGGACAGAGAGGGATCCTAAAGGCACACTACTTTGGTGCAGTAAATCACTTGAACTGACCCATAGCAAGACTTAATTTTGCTCTACCGTGTTGGTGCTAGTTCTTCCTACCTAAGCTTTATGTGCAGATTAACTGTATTTGCTTTAGCAGGTTTTGTTTTCATTGACTTTCTCCTGATTTTACTTAGACTTCTTTATGCTGGGCAAAGCTTTATTAATAGTACATCGCTTTGTTGGGGATTGGCTACTTAAATATTTCAGGGGTGCTTCTCTTGTTTTAAATGGTATGAATTGAAAAGGTACTTATGGAATCCATTATCTACCTGGACTTGCCCTCTTGACATTAATGACTCTATTTTTGATGATGTGTATGTCCATCCTGGTGTTACTGAAAGGAATTAGGCTAAATGACAGTAGTCTGTTCTGATTCATTCTGTTGAGCAGTCTGCTTTCCAAGAATGCTTCCTCAGGTGTCTAGAACACTGATTGTAGCTACAAAAATATTTTGGCCATTTGTTAATACCCCTCAATTATGGCTAGGGAATTTACTAGAAAAGACTGATTAGAGACAAGTGGCATAGTTGATTTTGCAGTTTCCAATGTATTATATAAATTAACAGCCCCCAAACTATTTTTTTTCTTTTTTTTTCTTTATTGATTTTTAGAGAGAGAGGAAGGGAGAGGGAGAGAGAGATAGAAACATCGATGAGAGGAAACATCGATTAGCCACCTCCTGCATGCCCCCTACTGGGGATTGGGCCACAACCTGGGCATGTGCCCTGACCAGGAATTGTACCGTGACCTCTTGGTGCATGGGTCGATGCTCAACCACTGAGTCACACCAGCCGGGCATTTATTTGCTGCTTCCTTGTAAATGATTTGTAGTGGAAGTTTCTAGAATAGCCAGGCCCTAGATAAAGAGATGAAATCTTAAAAAAAAAAAAAAAATGATTTAACTTCACACACTTGAAGTAAGAGGAAAATATTTCCAAGAACTTATACTACAAAACAAAGCACTTGGGGGTCAGTGCTTCTTCATTAAAATATTGGGGTGTGGCCCTGGCCAGTTTGGCTCAGCGGTTAGAGCGTCCGCCTGCGGTCTGGAGAGACCCGGGTTCGGTTCCCGCTAAGGGCACATACCTCGGTTGCAGTTTGTCCCCGGCCCTGGTTGGTTGTGTGGGTGGCAGCCACTCGATGTGTCCCCTTCACATCGATGTTTCCCTCTCTCTCTCTTCCTCTCTCTCCCTCCCACTCTATCTGTACAAAAAATGGAAAAATGTCCTCAGGTGAGGATAAAAAAAATATATATATATTGGGGTGTGGATGCTGAATACAAAAGTTATGGAATAAAGCATTCCATGTTACATCATCTAAAAATTGTTAATAGACACATTAAGATACTAGTATTTGCTTTTCATAATAGATGTGTTCTTAGGAATTTGGGTGTAAGATTTCTCAAAGAATGAATCACTTAAAATCCACTAAGGATGTTTATAAGCTAAACAAATCCTATAATAGAGTATTTGGCTATTATCTTAAAAATCAGAATTTTTAGTCATCAAAATATCTTTTAAGTACATGTACTTTGCTTTTTTTTCTCTTTATTTTTATCATCACCATTTATCTCCCCTATACTGTCTTCCACCTCCACCCAGTCCCCTCACCCCCACAATCACAATGCTGTCTGTGTCCATCAGTTCTTTCTCTTTTTTTTACTTTGCTTTCTTTTCAGGGGTCAAAATCTAATATCCAAATGGCAGAAAATGTCTGCAGAGGTGTTTTATTCTTTGGCCACACAATATTTTCAAAAATTTGAATTTGTGAATGTCTTTAGCAGAACATACACTCATTAATTTTAACTATATAACTCCCAATTGCCATACACCAGTCATTTAACACCTTTATGTAATGTTCTTGGTCCCTAAGTACAGATGGATTAATTGATACTTCCCTTACACTGTTTTGGCCTCCTCAGGGACATGAACAAAATCAGTAAAGATTGTGTATTTATGGTAAAGCTTAATTTTTCAGTATTTTAAAGCCTAGCCTTCTAAATATTCAGAGGATAAGCTCTAGTCTCAGTTGCATATTCTAGGATTTCAAATTTCTTTAACATTTGTTTTGAATCTTAGAAATTGCATTGGAGTTATACTAAAGAGGTTCTGATTGTTTAATGTGGCTAGAAATATGAAATATCCCCTTTTGTACTTTGAATAAGATTTGGGTAAGTCCTAATTTATATTCCAGTAGACATAAGCAGGTTGTTTCACTTCTGAGTATATTAAATGAGCTGCTTTAAGACACTTTACTCTTCTTTGCTAGCTAGGTAAGCATCTTGTTGAACTTCTGGGCAAGTATTAGGCAGAAAGCCCAAGTCAAGGGTTTTGAGAGCCACCAACATAGACACTCAACTTGCATTTAACTGTGCATATTTGTTGTAGGTCAGAAATAAAGTACTATTTAATATTTGAATCCATTACTTGTATATTTGTTACTAATAGTGAAGTTTGGATTTTAAAGCTTTGCCTCCTTTAGCTGGGTCTCAAGATATGAAACTATAGAATTATTACTATTTATAGAGCACTTATTTTGTGTCACTGTGCATATTTCTCTTGTTTAAACTTCACAACAATGTTATGTGGTGGGTATTATTAGTAACCCCATTTTACAGATGAGGAACTTGAGGTTTAATTAGGTTGAGTGGCTTCCTCAAGATTTCACAACTAGTAAGTAGCAAGCAAGGATTTGAGCCTAGGTTTGTGTGAATTCAAAGTTCCACTTTTGCCTGCCTTATGTGTTGTTTTACTACCTTTAGGTATTATATTTAATAGTTGTTTTAATTTAAAGTACCTGAGAGCTCTGTATGCTATGAAATCTGCCCAATTTTAGAGCAATCTCTTGATGATAAATCTCTTACCTATAATTTAATCAGATTTCAGCACCAAGCCAAATGTGTTTACACCTGAGATACATACGGAAGCTCAAAGTTTTTAACGCCAATTCCCACTTTTTCTTACATATTATAATATCAGTAGTACTGAAAAGGAAGACTATGCTTTCTTCCTCAAAAAAAGGAAAGATTTATGACCAGGTGGTGATAAAGGTGAAGTATGTCCTGATGGACTAGAGCATATTTGTCCATTCCAAAATATTTTGCTTTTGTCTTTAGGGAGTAACAATTGTTTGGGTACTATGTCTCTATATGTTGCACTTCAAATTAGTCTGACACTTTGCAACATGGATTCATACCAAGGGCAACTTTGTTAGCAAGTTGTTTCCTATGAGCTTGCTGGTAGGAAACACACTTTTTGGTATTGTTATATGTAACAACAGGAGAATGGTTGTAGTCTTCTCTTTTCTTACTTGTGGTAATAAACCTATTAATTGAAGCAAGAAGGAAATAAATTGCCTACTCTGAAGGAATCATAACAAATTATACTCTTATTTAAAGTGTGACCTATTGCATTAGAATAAGTGATTTATTTAATGTACCAGAGTAATATAGTAGAATATGCATCACCTTATACCAGATAGTAACTGATTCCATTAGTTTACTTGAAGAGATTTTAGTCAGGGAAAAATAGTTGTCCAATTGTTTTCTTGAATTTATTAAACCAAATTAAAAATAACATTTTGAAGGAAATAATCTTCCCAAATCATATCATCCTACAATTCTTGAATGAGATCTAGTTTGTCCTTTCCTTATAAGTCTATAACCTAGCATGCTTTAGAGCCTCCTGCTACCTTAGTTGACACACATTCAAGAAAAATAAATTCATTTCAATAGCAGCCTAAACAAATATCATTAGAAAGATAAATTTTCTGGAGACATGAATGTAATCTAATGCAATTTTTAAATTATTTCTGCCATTAATTCCCTCCATTAGTGTGAATGATTGAGTTGATTTTACAGTCAAGTACTTTGTGAGTCACTTAAGGATTTTGAGAGACTATGAAGCTTTTTTCTGGTTTACATTCAATTATATTTTCATTATAAGTTGCCATTATATATACAAAGGAACCAGTGAACATTTTTTATACCTATTCCTTTCTATTTTAAAAATAATTTGATTATTGACTTGTGTTTCTAGCATTGATTTTGAACCTTTGCAATCTCATTCTCTCTAGTCCATTAAAAAATCTCTGGAGAGCTTAAGACAGCAGCTGATTCAAATAGGCCTTTAAGGTCTTCCAGTTTTCTAAAGGGAGTAAGACCAAATTTTGGCTCGTTTCTTGTCATTTTAAGGATGTCTTCAAAATGTATAGTGGCTAAAGTTATCCTACAGGTAGTAATTTTGAGTTTAAGGTGGCTCTATTTAAGTTTGGAGGAGAATAATGTCAAAACAAAAAACAAATCACCTTTGGCAGTTCTTACAACATCTGTCCATCTTTAGAACAATCCCCGGAAATATATCTCTTAGCTGGTTTCCCTATATCTTTGCATTATTTCATTTAACACTTGAAAAAAAAGTAACAGCATTAGAAACAAAGTACTACTGAACAAAGTAATAACTATGTTTTCTTCAACCTGTCTTTTCTACTACAGGAACATTTAAGCTTATAATAGAATTCACTGAGGAATATCCAAATAAACCACCTACGGTTAGATTTGTCTCTAAGATGTTTCATCCAAATGGCAAGTATCACTTTTAACACAGTATTTTAAACCACTGCACTGTTTATTAGGGAGCTATTTCACATTCCTATGGTACCTTACTATTTAGACACCCTGTTGTTTCCTGAAAACTGAACTTGTTCATGGTGCTCTATTGCTGGTACTCTGTTGCTGTCTTGAGCTATAGTCCTAGAACTAAAGCAGGGTAGTTACTTTGCCTTTGCTTAGAGTCTGAGAGCCTCCTGGTTTTGATCATCTTTATCATTTACTTATTAAACAAAAATAAGGATGCTCTTGAGGTTTCCTTTCAATGTTAGGGCAGATTGGGGTAATCTTGTGTTGTAATTTTTTCACTAGTGTTTTAAGACAATAGTTTTCAACTTTGGATGCAGATCAGCATTACCATGGAACATTTTAAAAATACAGATGCTCTAGCCCCAGCCCAGACCTACCGAATGTCAGATTCTGTGGTTGAGGGCCAGGTATATAGTAGCAGATTCGAAAAGCACCACAGGTGATTCTAACTTACCATTTTCTTTTGTTTTTCCTAGTAGTAGTAAGCCTAGAACAGCTTGCCTTTTATTCAGGTTAATAACTTTCCAGGGTATCAGATACTATCTTTATGCCAATATGAAATCTTGTGAGCTATCTTTTGTTATTTCATATAGGAGATATAGTTTACAAATTTGATGGAATTAATTTCTCACAAGTCTGTGGATGGTTGGGGGCCCTGTTAGAAAATGTTTATGATTTCCTGGATAATAGGACACTCTTTTTAGAAGTAGCACTAAGTATCTTCCAGTTTTATACTAATTACACTTGACACTCTCCTATCGTAATTATTTCACTGGTAATGCTTATGGCTCTTTTTTAGGAGGTAACTGAGAAGTAGCCTAGGAAATCTTGTTAAATCTCAAAAGCAAAGTATTGTTGACTATATTTGTCTTGACTATGCTGTTAAAACTGTAATGGTTTTGTTATGTTTAATATAAATACTTCTCTGCTCTCAGTCTATGCAGATGGTAGTATATGTCTGGACATACTTCAGAACCGCTGGAGTCCAACTTATGATGTGTCTTCCATTTTAACATCAATACAGGTGAATTTTTCCTTCATGTGACTAACTATGGCCTTTTATGCTTATATTAGCAACTGTTTTTGAAAGTTATAACAAAGGTAAAAGGTAGGTCATTAAGACCTAAGCCACCAGAAAATATATATATTTGACTAACTACTAGATTAATGTAACTCTTGATTAGTATGCTAAGAGAGCAAGTTTAGCTGTTACTTAAGACAATTCATTTGAGTATCTTATATATAATTTTTGCATCTAGGAACTGACCTTTTACAAATTGTCTTTATAGTCTCTATTGGATGAGCCTAATCCCAATAGTCCAGCAAACAGCCAGGCTGCTCAGCTGTATCAGGAGAACAAGCGGGAATATGAAAAACGTGTTTCTGCGATAGTGGAACAGAGCTGGCGTGATTGTTGACTCGGGTGCAGCAAAAGAAGAGGCTGGGCATATGAAAAATATATATTGATGAATTTGTCACCTTCCTATTCCTCAGTGTCATTACATTTACTTCATTAAATGCAAAATAGTTACTCTGCTGTTTCCATCTTCCCTCGCCAAGCTTTTCCTACCCCTTCTATCTTCTCCTTGAACATCAAAAATACCCTCTATGAGATCAAATGTACTGTACCTGGGTTACGTGCAAAAATTACTAATGCTTAATTCCTTTTCTGTCGTGTCTTATCTCCAGCTTTAGGGCAGTATTTTGTTACCATACTTTACACTAAGCTTTTTAAACAAATTGTTATACAAGTGGTGCTTCTGCATAGCTTGATGACCAGGATGTTATTTTTAACAAAATGATTGCTGAAGTGTTTCATACTGGCCAAAACACTTGTGTTGGATTTAAAAGTGAATGTTTGGAATATGGCCTACAGAAAACAGGGAAACAAGTCCATATATACATCCATTTTGAAAGAGATGAAAGTTAAAAATGCCGTTTCTAAGATCTAACTAATGAATTACAAGATGGTTTTTATTGGTAGGAAGGAAAATGTTAAAGGACTCAGCCAAAGGAGTACAGCAATTGTAGTAAATGACACATCCTCTCCTTGCGAGATATTCCCTGGGCACACTCATGCTAAGTGTCATACTACATTTGACATTCTGTATCTACAGGTTCCACATCCACGGATTCAACCAACTACAGATTGAAAATATTTGGGAGGGGGCTGACATGTTGCTGATGTATACTAGGTAGTTAAGCCTCTGATGGTTGTCTGTACTGGAAGTCTGGGTTTTTGCTATTTAAAGAGCTGTGAGAGCAGAAGAATGGAACAGTCGTGTTTTTAAGGTGGGTATAAGGTTGGTGAGCCTTTAATCTTTTCAAAGGAGCAGTGCTATCTTAGATGACCAAATTTATAATCCCCTCATTTTTTAGAGTTTTAATTAAACCAATGAAAGGAGCATATCTGTGGCAAATTATTTTCCACACAAATCTTGATTTAATGCTGCATGCTTTAGTTTCTTCTTCCTTTTCAGTATTATAAGAACTTTAAAGTCAACGTTTGCATCTTTCTTTGGATATTTATACTTTTAAATAGTACCTCTAAGTAGCGGTGTGGGACGAGGCTTGTAAATGTTTGTCACCTTGTGTGCATTTTTCACTCTTCTAAATCTAACTTTGCACAAGTAACCCATGTAAAAAATGTACATTTTTAAAAACTTGTAAATAAAAATAATCTTAAAATTTTGTAGTCAAGCTATAATTGTACTTTAGCTCAGTGTGAACTTTTAGTATTATTGGAATCACATATCTATTCATTTCCCCCCTTAAAATAAACATGGTAAAAGCAAAAATATAGATTCTGGGAGAGAGAAAAGAATAGATTACTATTGGAGAGGATCTTTTTTTCTTTTCAGTCAGAAGTATTAATGCTTTATTTTTTTAATAATTTTTTTCTTTATTGATTTTTTATAGAGAAGGAGAGGGAGAGAGAGAAACATCGACGAGAGAGAACATTGACTGGCCACCTCCAGCACGCCCCTCACTGGGGATTGGGCCCACAACCCGACACTCAACCACTGAGCCACACCAGCCGGGCAGTTATTAATACTTTAAAAAATATTTTAACAGAATGTAAAACTTAAAACAAAGCTACTTCAGCATTAATATTATGATCAGTCAAAGGAATAAAACAGATGAGGAGAAATAAACCTGGATATTTACCAGCACCCTCAGAGACCAACACCTAACTTGTTGATCCTGACATCCACTTGTTTTGGTTTTTATTGTTTATTTAGAGAGAGAAACATGGATCTGCTGCCTCCTGCACACCCCCTACTGGGAATCAAGCCAGCAACCCAGGCACGTGCCCCAAACCAGGAATCGAATAAAGACCTCTCGCAGTCCATGGGATGACACTCAATCCACTGAGCCACACCGGCCGGACCATCCACCGCTTTTTAAAAGCCCTAACTTAAAAACAGTACCAAACTATTATCAAATGGTATTTTCAGTCCTGTGTAAAGTTTGGGAGTACAGGTATCCTCACGTTATCTTGCTTAAACAAAACTCTTCGGAGAAGCGACCTATTTTCTTTTTAAATAGACAAGGACAGTGATTTTGTGGAAACTCACCTCTTTATTTATTTGGGGGTGGACTAATAAAATGAAATCCCTGTAGTATTGTACCTATTCATCCTTTAAAACATGGCACTTAAAGAAAGCTCAATGTGGGGGAGTTCATTCTACACTGACCACATTAATTGGTTTGTTTCACTTAGGAGCAACATCCTTAACTGTGTTTTAATGTTTTCCCTTAAATCTATTTCTGCTTCAAAGTAGAAACACATTAAACTGGTCTCCATTGATAAATCAGTTTTATATTAACTTTTTGTTGTTATTAATCTTTACCTGAGGATACTTTTCCACTGGTTTTTAGATAGAGTGGAAGGGAAGGAGGGTGAGAGAGAGAGAGAGACATCAATGTGAGAAAGACACATTGATCAGGTGCCTCCCAAATGACCCTAACCAGGGCTGGGGATTGAACCTGCAACCCAGGCACATGCCCTTGACCCAGAATTGAACCCTCTGGTCCACAGGCCAACGCTCTAACTACTGGGCAAAATCGCCAGGGCTACATTTTTTAATCCTATTGTGGCTGGGTATCTTATTGACACTTAATTACACTTTAAAAAATTAAGGTGAGATCAGGAATGTGAAGATAATTTTTGTGTGTGTGTGCACCTCCTGAGAAACGCTATACCCAATCTCTTTCATTGTATAATCCTTTCAAAACCTTACATGTTCATGAAGTACTATGCAGCTGTAAGAAATAAAGATCTCTTATCCTTTGAGACGACATGGAGGGACCTGGAAAGGATTATCCTAAGCAAAACAAGCCAGAGAAAGACAAGTATCATATGATCTCATTTGTGGAATATAATGAACATAACAGTCTGAGGAATGGGGTAGTCCCAGAGACATGGAAGTGGGGTACAGACTGACAATCCCCAGAAGAGGGGGTGGTGGGGGAGAGATAAACTACAGAACTTATATGCATGTATGTATGAACAATGGACATGAGCAACAAAGCTGGAGATATTGTGGGGAGAAAGAGGGAGGGGGAAATCAGAGGGTAAAATAGAAGAAACATCTGCAAGAAAAATAAATTAATTAAATTTAAAAAAAATCCTTACAATGTTCAACAAGCTGACTTCCCAAAGCATCATACCCATGGTAAAAGGTACTAGCAACCATTCATTTGACATTTAATGCTAATTTGCCTTTTTTTCTTTATAATTTTTTTAACAAATGCCTCAGGCTGCCTGCATATAATTATAACAATAATAACCATAAAGTTAAAACAGGTAATGGAAGGTCCCTTTTCAAATGACAGTCAGATCTGGACCAGAGTCTTCAATTCTGCACCTGCTGATGTGGGAAAGGGGGTATGACAAAGAACAAAAGTTGTAATTAGAGTCCTTTATTTAGGACCCATCTCCAGTTTCAGGGGTTATTCACAGTAAAGCGATGCATTGTACGCTACTAAAAAAATAATCCTAACAGAATGAATAAACCTTCCATTCGTTTTGCAGTCAAAAGGGAGGAAAAAAAAAATCTAACATCTGTGCTGAGTGTGTTAGTACAACATTTAAGTAACTCAAATAAAACTTGAAACTGCTCATGTACTGTGCAAGGTTACTAGGTTAAAAATGACTATTTTAAAGAAAGGGAAAATAAAGGAACCAATAGGGGACAAAATAGAACAAGTTTGTCAGCAGCTCATTGTTCCCAAACCCATTCTCAGCATACTTTGTTTTCAGAGTTAAGTGATTTCACCCTATTTCCATATTGATACCAAAGCTGATCTAAGAAGTTGGGAAATCGGGACCCTCAAATCCAGAACCAAATATATACTTGGCCCAATTACTTGAGAGCCTTAACTATAACTACATTAATATTCTGGTTGAATTTATCTAAATGAACCAGATTTATATGTAACATTTCCCTATTCTTCCCTCCAAAAAAAAATGATTTTGGGAAGAGGAAAGAAATGTAAAGAGAGAAATGAGTTTTTACATTCTTTAATCCCCAAAGCCACTCTTATTCAAGAGAACTGAAGGATGATTTTTCTAACTCTCTAATTGAACCATAGCTTCTCAAGGTTGGTATGAGCCTTGTAAGTAAAAAAAAAAAAAAAAAAAAAAAATTATATGAAACCTATAAATATTTTAGCTTAGTTGCCTTTGCCATCGTTAAGACATTTAAGTACCAAATAAAATGCACACCTCACTTCTCTTCCTACCAATATTAGGAAAGGCCACACACTGTAGGAAGTTAGTGGAAAGCAAGTATCACACCTGTGTTAATCATTGTAGGTAACTAAAAGTTATAGAGATACAGGTATAAAAGATAATTCATATATATATATATATATATATATATATATATATATGGTTTTTACTGATTTTAGAGAGAGGGAGAGGAAGAGAGAAACATCTATGAGAGAACAATTGATCAGCTGCCTCCTGCATGTCCCGGACTGGGGATCAAGCCCCAAACCTCAGCATGTGCCCTGACCAAGAATCAAACCAGCAACCTCTTAGGTGCACACATGGGACGATGCTCAACCAGCTGAACCAGAGGCCAGGGCCCTATTTTAAAAATATTGATTTAACTACAACAGACAGCTTCTTAATATGAAATATAAAAAAGGGGGAAAGGAAATTTCTGCTTATTGTGGATCAATTACATGTCAAGCATGGTGCTAAATGTTTTAAGACACTGTAAACAACCTATCTGTTCTAAAGATCATCTCACTGGAGGTGTTTAACTATCTACATTAATATTCATTTCTGAATATTAATAATGTGAATATTAATACTTGATTTATCTGAGATACAAAAACAAAATCACATAAACAGCCTGAGATTTGGCTGCAGCCATCTGCTAAGTCATTATGTTCATCCACATGTGCTCTGGTGTTGAAATACTTTGTGAAAACACCACTTCCCCTCTTCTCCAGAGACCCAAAGTGTCGCTACTAGGCTGCTGCCCAGAAATAAGCACACCACCATTTTGATC